TTCCAGTTTGCACCCATTACCCCTTGTCCTATCATTGTTTGCCACTGAGTAGAGCCTGGCTCCATCCTCGTGACACTCCCCCTTTATATATTTATAGACACTTATAAGGTCACCCCTCAGTCTCCTCTTCTCTAAACTATAAAGACCCAGCTCCCTCAGTCTTTCCTCATAAGGGAGATGCTCCACTCCCTTAATCATCTTGGTTGCCCTGCGCTGGACTCTCTCCAGCAGCTCCCTGTCCTTCTTGAACTGAGGGGCCCAGAACTGGACACAATATTCCAGATGGGGTCTCACCAGGGCAGAGTAGAGGGGAAGGAGGACCTCTCTCGACCTACTAACCACCCCCCTTCTAATACACCCCAGGATGCCATTGGCCTTCTTAGCCACAAGGGCACAGTGTTGGCTCATGGTCATCCTGTCGTCCACTAGGACCCCCAGGTCCCTCTCCCCTACACTGCTCTCTAGCAGGTCGTTCCCCAACCTATACTGGAACCTGGGGTTGTTCCTGCCCAGATGCAGGACTCTACACTTTCCCTTGTTATATTTCATCAAGTTATTTCCTGCTCAACTCTCCAGCCTGTCCAGGTCTCGCTGGATGGCAGCACAGCCTTCTGGCGTGTCAGCCACTCCTCCCAGCTTAGTGTCATCAGCAAACTTGCTGATAGTACACTCAATTCCCTCATCTAAATCATTGATGAATATATTAAATAATACCGGTCCCAGTACTGACCCTTGAGGCACTCCACTAGTTACAGGCCTCCAACTAGACTCAGCCCCATAGACTACAACTCTCTGGCTTCTCTCCTTCAGCCAGTTCGCAGTCCACCTCACTACCTGGTCATCCAGTCCACACTTCCTCAATTTAGCCGTGAGGATGCTGTGGGAGACTGTGTCAAAGGCTTTGCTGAAGTCAAGGTAGACCACATCCACCGCTCTGCCATCATCCATCCACCGTGTTATTTCCTCATAAAAGGCTAAGAGATTGGTCAAACATGATTTCCCCCTGGTGAAGCCATGTTGACTGCCCCTCATAACCCTCTTATCCTTGATATGCTTTAAGATGGCACCAAGGACAAGGTGTTCCATCACTTTCCCAGGGATGGAGGTGAGGCTGACCGGTCTATAGTTACCCGGGTCCTCCTTCTTGCCCTTTTTGAAGACCGGAGTGACATTTGCCTTCCTCCAGTCCTCAGGCACCTCTCCCGTTTCCCAGGACTTGGTAAAGATGATGGCGAGTGGTCTAGCAATGACTTCCGCCAGTTCCCTCAGCACCCGCGGGTGCATCCCATCTGGACCCATGGATTTATGGACGTCCAGATTGCTCAACTGATCTCTAACCCATTCCTCATCGACTAAGGCAAGTCGCTCCGTCGACCTGACTTCATCTAAGGTCTCAGGGGTATAGGGCTCTTCAGGACTGCCTGCAGCAGAGTAGACAGAGACAAAGAAGGCATTCAGTAACTCTGCCATCTCTGTATCTTCTGTCACCAGGGCACCCATCCCGTTCATCAGTGGGCCTACATTGCCTCTGGTGTTAGTTTTGTCTGCCATGTACTTGAAAAAGCTCTTTTTGCTGTCCTTGACCCTTCTTGCCAGGTTTAATTCTAAGGAAGCCTTAGTCCTCCTAGCTGCCTTCCTACATCCCCTAGCAGCAGCCTTATATTCCTCCCAAGTGGCCAGCCCCTCCTTCCATGACCTGTAAACTCTCCTCTTCCACTTGAGCATACCCAGCAATTCCCTATTTAGCCACGCAGGTCTCTTGGCCCTCTTCCTTGACTTCCTACGTGTCGGGATGCTCCGATCTTGAGCTCGGAAAAAGCAGTCCTTGAATGTCAACCAACTATCTTGGGCCCCTTTTCCTTCAAGCAGCCTTGCCCACGGGATTTCCCCTAGCAATTGCTTGAAAAGGCCAAAGTTTGCCCTGCTGAAGTCCAGGGTTGCAATTCTACTTGGTATTCTACTAGTCCTACCACACAAGATCCTGAACTTCACCATCTCGTGGTCGCTGCAACCAAGGCAGCCCTCTACCCTTACTGCTTCAACCAGACCCTCCTTGTTAGTGAGGATGAGATCCAGCAGCGCTCCTCTCCTGGTCGGCTCATCCACCATTTGCAGGAGGAAGTTATCATCCACACACTGGAGGAACCTCCTGGACTGCGGCTGGGTTGCCGAGTGGTCCTTCCAGCAAACATCAGGGAAGTTAAAATCCCCCATGACGACCACGGCCTGTGACTGTGAGGCCGCTCTCAGCTGCCTGTAGAAGGCCTCGTCAACTTCCTCACCCTGATCTGGTGGTCTGTAACAGACACCTACAACAGTATCCCCCCTGCCAGCCTGCCCCTTAATTCTCACCCACAGACTCTCAACTCGCTCATCATCTGTCCCCAGACAGAACTCGGTGCATTGTAGTTCCTCCCGCACATAAAGAGCAACCCCACCACCCCTCCTGGCTGGCCTGTCTTTCCTAAAAAGGACATAGCCCTCCATGACTATATTCCAGTCATGTGAGCTGTCCCACCAAGTCTCTGTAATTGCCACCAGATCATAGTCTCCTGACTTAACACAGGTTTCCAACTCCTCCTGTTTATTTCCCATGCTGCGCGCATTGGTGTACAGACATTTCAGGGAGCGAGCTGAGCACACCGATTTCACCCTATTTAATATGCCAATGTCAGCATATTATAAATTACAGTAGTCCAATTACACTATAGCAAGTATTTACCACTTATACATTGCTTTGAACATACACAGTGCAACTCTCAACTAATTCTTAACAGTGGAATGTAGAAATATTGTCCTAATTTCAGTGATAAAAAAAGAAAGGTGAAATAATTTGCCACAGGCTACTTAGTCTTGGGTGGATCCAGGACTATAACAGGGGAAGCATCAACTCCGAATCCATGGCTTCCAAGCCAGAACTGTCCAATATCTTGGTCACCATGTAACAGGTTTATTACTGCAGCATAGTTGGTCACTGCACAGCAAAGACATCCTTATCACATTACACAATGAAAAACATCTTTTGGCTGTCGGACCTAGTTCTACTTTAATCTAGCCTAACTCTACACATAGAGCTAAACAAAAAATAAAGTCAAATAAAAACCTGAAGATTCTACATCAGGTTCTTCAAACATGAAACTGCTTCTGCAAGATCTAGTTAAGCTTCAGCTTTCCCATACCTAGCTTTCCTAAGTTGTTGTCTGCCTGAAAATTATTATAATACAGATTGCTGAGGATGAAAAAAAGGTGAAAATCTTCATTAAGTTTCTCTGGTATTTCCTGTTACAAAGCTGGTGTTCACCTACCCTCAACCCCAGCGATGGTTCCCATTCACAGACTGGAGCTCACTACAGAAACAGAAATGTATAGAAAAGTCTAAGACAGAGTATAATTGTACATGACAATAAATAACTTTGTTGCCTTGTTTGTCATTTCACCTCAACTCACTCTCACCTTGCTATTTTTGCTAATTTCTACCAACAAACCTCAACATTCCTCCCTATTGTGCTTTAGCTATATTGATAGACATTAATATAGTTGAGGTCTTATTTCTGCACTGTAACCAGTTTCAGCTTCCTGAAAAAAATCTCACTTGTGAACTGAATGTTAATTTCTGGATAGTATCTTCAGAGGAACTATGTGAAAGAAATGTGGAAAATTCATACAAATAATGCCCAGGATCCATACGTTTTGGGTTTTTTTTTTTTATGTTCTCAAACAGTATCACAGACTGAAGAAGACAAGGTTCCTTCTTAGAAACCCAATATATCTTGTTGTCCTGTGAATCATTTTATTTCCCAGTTGTTCAAAACAATACAGCAAATATAACACTGAATTCTAGCTTGACAAGAGTTTCAGAACTCCTTTATCATTTGCTGGTGTTACTGGAATTATATACAGCTCATGAGTCACACATCCTCAGAATTATCTGTAATATAAAGATATCAATAATAAAGATAAGTGAAACCTTTACATAACCAGCCTGCTACTGAGAGACTCCACATTTTTGTTAGCATTTGAACCGCTTCATTTTTAAGTTAACCCATGAGTAGATGGATGCCACTTAATGCAAGGGATGTATTTGTTTACCAAGGTACCTCTTTTCTGCAACCACAGAGCATTTTGGGGTGGGGGGGCTTGGGGGAAGGGGAGAAGAAGGAGGAGAGGGGTAAAGAAAAAAACTCTTACTAAAATATCATCAGCATATCATTATTCAAAATGTAAACAAAACCAAAATTACCAAACCACATAAACATTAGCACATTTTAGTTGCCCTGAAAACAACTTGAGTTTAACAGTAAGCCACAAATACAGACCCAATTCTAATAGCTGATTTAGAGTTCAAGTGCTTGCACATTTTTTCTTTTTTTTCAATGGCAAACCCCCTCAATTTGTCCCATAAGGGAACTTTGTGTAGCCATGAAGCTAAAATTTCGCACTTGTTTTTATTAAGGAACAGGTCTTTAGGCACAACACCACAGAAACTGTAATAAAACTTTAACTTAAAAAAAAAAAAGGTGCAATTTTACTGGTATTAGATTACCACAATTTCTACAAAGTCAACAGACTAAAAATGTTCCTAGATACTATTCCAAAAAAAAAAAAAAAAGGTTTTAAATTTATATTACTTTTACAGGCTTTGCATTTTTACTCCTCTTGAGTTAGAAATAATTTTTAAATACCGAAATATAAATTAATATACTATTACAGTCATTATGTAATATGCTATATATTTAAATACATTAAAATTATGTTTAAAGCTTTAAATATGCCATTCTCTTATACCTATGCTCCCATCCACTCTTAATGATTGCCAAACAATAACTACAGAAATTGTAGAAAGCAGGTGTAACAGCTGTGCCTTTCCATTGATTTTACACACTCAAGCAGTGCAATATATGCGGACATGAATTTAAACATCACTGTCCTAGTGCTGTCCTGTATAAATAATAATAAAAATAATAACAGCCTATATATGTCTTTAACTCTGAATCTACCTACCCAGGACATCTCTAGAGTATTAGATCTGCTGAACTTCTGTGCTCCATCTTCCAGAATATTTTCTTAAACAACTCTTCTTTCACTGTATTTCAGCCCTACAAAAGAACAATGGGTAACACCTGAATAACAACACTCAGGGAACCTCTTAAAAAGTATCAAAGTGACTGAAGAGCAGCTTAATTGCCATACACACAAAAAACATTGTAATTAAACATTTTTAGCTCTGTAAGGAGGAAATTTAGCTAGGCGCAACTCATTCCCCAAGCACAAAGGTTCCTCTCAAAGACAGACCAGAAGCCTAAGTCTTACAGGAACTTTCCATTTGCTACAGGGGCACCATAGGAAAACTGCATACAGAAAACTATACAGCTACTGCAGGTTCTTCCCCAAACTGTCTGAAAGATGAACTCAGCTCTGACCAGCAGCCAGATCACCTCAGCAAAAAGCAAGTTAAAGAAACCAGATCTACCACCATCACCCACCCCAAGAGTGGACTCTTCTTCAGCATAAAGAGAAGTTCCTTGCAAGGAACTGAACACTATTCCTTTATGAGATATGTTGGCATCTTTACACTGTGTGTAGACCTATGTGTTATGGGACCTATGTGGTATCTTTTCAATGATCTCTTTGCCCCAATCACTCTTTGCAGAGTGTGGTCCTCTTGCCTTTGCAAATGACTACACCTGGCATTAGCAGGAACAGCCTACCTCATCCTTCTTTCCCTCTAACCTTCAAAATCCAAAAAAAAAGCTAAAAGTTTCCTTGATGAAGCACTGAGCTACACAGGTGGGCAGATAAACTTACTGGTTGAAATCTAAAGTTGTAGTTACAAAATCAATAAAAAAAATAATAAAAACTTCTGGTTAGAAGAATATAAGCCAAACAAACCCAAAACAAAAAATAAAACAAAACCTCACCCCCCCCCCAAAAAAAAAAAACCAAAAAGCAAAACAAACAAATAAAAACCCCACAAAAAAAAACAAATAACCCGATTAACCAGATGCAAACAAATGCATCTTAGATTGTTGCTACTTAAAAGAAAGCTCTTTCAAGCTAACTATTGAGAAGAACTGAAAATTTGGGGCATATTCTGACTACCTATAATGTATGTGCAAAGCACACAAGAGGACTGAGGAAACGAGCACACATAATTTATAGGTACTGCTGGGGATGAGAAGTCGATGGCTGAAGTGACTGCCTTTATGCACACAGACATGAACATACTGATTGACAACTCAAAAAAGATCTTAAGACACTAACTTTAGCTCTTAGCCTAAACAAGAAAATTGCAAGAATTTGTTTTAAATCAGTTGTTAAGGAAGTTTCAGTGAGACTACATACACTTACGTGCACTTACACCTGTTTTCCTCTTGAGTAGTTTACCTCGTGTTATTTTTGAAAGTCCTTACGCAACCAACTTTAATGTTAAACTAGTCAGGTTTAAGCTGCAACATGAATTGGCACACACCATTTCAGCATGTGCACCTTCACCTCCCGGAATTAGTAGGGCTTCTGCAATTTTATCATGGGGAGTCACTGTAACTGAGGAAAGAAAATGGAAGGGGCTTTTCTTCACACGAAGGTCAGAAGGCATACAGTGTGACTGTGTACTTCTTCCTATCCAACAGAGGCAAAAATTCCAGAATATTAATGTTCAATGGCAAACCTCTCAAATTAATCTCATTCTGAAGCAGAGGTATGTGAGAGCATACTAACTTGGGGTCAGTAAGCGAGTTTCTGCTGTGCACACGGCGTATGTGGAGTTGGGACTCCAAGAATGACAGTGACAGCGAAAGACCAGAGCAACTGAGGGGTTAAGTGGAAACATCTGGGGCTCCAAACACAGGATTCCACACGGGTCATCAGCTGCCGCTCTCCACACGAGGTGGCTGTGCCGGTCGGCGGGAAGGGAGCCCATTACTCGGGTGTGGTGGTGAGGTTTCTGGTGAGGCTAGAGCTGACGGGACACAGACGCTTACAAGAACGCCATTGGGAGAGGCGCCTTGAGGTGTGGAAAGCGGCAGGAAGTTCGCGGTGTCCTCGAGGACACGACCGCTACTTTAGAAGCGAGCGCGGAGTACTACCGCTGCCTCCAAGGCGACCGTAACCCAACCTGAAACGTCGGCAGCAGCATACCCAGGCGGGAGTAGCCGCTGTCTCTACGACGGCCAGAACTCGCCGTCCCATAGCAGGGATTACCTCAGGCTTCAAGCCAGCAGCCTCCCGCCCGCGCTCACAGGATGGCAGAAGCACAATCCCCGGGGCGGGAGCCCTTTTTACTCCCCTCATTCCCCCAGCGGCATTTCACGCCTGAGCGGCAGCTGCGCCGAGCCTGACGCCACATCCAGACGAAATCCCGGCGACCGACTACAACTCCATAGGCACCGACACGGCAGCGTCACTCCTTTCCCCCCCCCCAGCCGCCCTCGCGCAGCTGCCCAGCCAGCGCCTCTCTGCAGAGCGAAGGCAGAGACAGCCCCCGGCAGCGCGGAGGCCTGTGGGACGGGTAGTCCCCGCCTGCCTTCGCCGTGACGCCACGAGCCTGGCGAGAACTACCATTCCCGGCGCGCCCCGCGGCTGCCGCGGCACCGTGACCTGCCGCTGGCTGAGGGAGCGGCTGCGGCAGAAAGGCTGCAGAGGGGCCTGGTCACCCAGCCGCAGCGATGAGCTCGGCCAGGGAGTCACAGGGCCACCACGGCCGCAAACGAGCGGCCTCCCCTGATGTAAATAGGGGCGGCGGGAGGGGGGCGGAGGAGGCGGCGGCGGCGGCTGGGGGGGAAACTGTGGCGGAGTCCCGGTATGGTCTCCGAACCTAGCGCGGGACGCAGGGAAGGCCGCGGCCTTCCCAGACGCCCTCTTCCTCGCGTTAAAAGCCGTCCGAGGAACAGCGGCGCCGGAGGCGTCACGGGGGAGCTGGAGGCAGGGGCTGAGGGGCGCCGGGCCCACCGCGCCCACCGCAGCGGAGGGGGCGGGTGGGCGGGCGGGCGCAGTTAGCGTGTGCTCCCGCAGGGCTCCAGGAGCTGGGAGGCGGCGGACCTTGGCAACGAGGAGCGGAAGCAGAAGTTCCTGCGGCTCATGGGTGCTGGGAAGGTGAGGACGCTCCGCTGCGCCCCGCGAGCACACGGGAACCCGAGTGGGAGGAGGTTCCCCCCTCAGCGGCTCCGTGGGGTTTTATACTTGCATTGCAACTAAACCTCCGTAGGAGGCTTGCTGCAAGTAGCAGTGCTCTCAGAAGGAAAAGAGAACACTCAAAGGCAATTCTGCTTTGGGACTCTGCTTTAAGGAGGATTTGGGTTTCACAGCCGCACCTATCTTATGCCGGCAGCCGTTTAAGGCAAAACATAGGTTTTAAATAGTCTAGTGTCTGCCGTGCAGCTTCCTCCCACACCTTCATCCTTTCAGACCAGCTAATAAAATTATTTGTTAACACTTTTGAGAGAATTCTTGTTATAAATCAACAAACCTGTACACTAGGTCTGTAAAATCCTCTTTCATTTGAGGAAAAACAATATAATTGTGCTTTTTCCATCTAAAAAATACTTAGTATTGCAATTCTGCATACCTACAAGAAATATAATTTCAATTGTACTAGCTTATTATGCTTGAATAGAGTATTTTTGGAAGTTAGAATATTTTACTGTATTAGAGAGCTAAAAGTTATACTTTCTAGGGGAGAGGAATATAATGCCCTATTAAAGCATCCCACTACCACTAATCTTAACAATATCTGCTTGGATAGTTAATGCTGCTTGCTATGTAATTCCAGTTCTTGCCTATAGGAACACATTTGCTAATGAACAACTGCTGACCCAGTTAATTAATGAGCACTGTGAAGGTCTTGCTTGATATTGTGACCAGGCTAAAAGTGGGATCATTGTGAGCTGCACTGACTGAAGTATTGCATAGTACCAGCGGAAAAAAAGGTCAAAACCAAAACTGACACATGTCCAGCATTGTCTAGTGTAGTTTTCATATCAGTGGCAAGAAGCAGAACAAAGTAGTTTTAGAAATAGAAAAATACCAGCTTTGGGGTGCGGGAAGAGGAAGAAGTAGTTAGTCATTGGGGTTACTTTTTCAGAAAATTTGAAGGTGAAACAAGTTCATCAAGAGGCAGCAGTTAGCTAGTGTAACTTACAGCTCTATAGTTCATTATTAAGGTTTGGCAGCAAACCTTGTCCATTCAAGATCTCCAGAATGTTGGCAGAGCTATCAGTGCACCCTAAAGCTCCAAAACAAACTGCCTTTTCTTTTAGAAAGAACATACTGGCCGCCTTGTTATCGGAGACCACAGATCAACCTCTCACTTCAGGACAGGTCAGTTTATCCAACAGCTGATGCAAAGTTGGAAATCTAACTCTTATTTAGGAGCATATCAGTACTTTGAGCTTCATAGATACTGCAGGGAGAGACTTCAGATTTTGTGGCTGGAGTTGAAGACAGTTCAGGCTATGGATTTGTAGAGGTTCCTAATTTCTTGTTAGATTGCTGACGGTTTCTCTAACTGCTTTCTTGTCTTCTGAAATCCAGGTTCAGCAAAGTATCTGGTGGTCAGTTAAACTTGTGTACAAGTGCCCTGGAAATCAGCCTGTAGGTCCTCAGTTTTACTTTGCTGTCAAAATAAGAAAGTAAAGCTTTATTGCTATTGATACCTAGCAGTATTATACTTCTTCCTTGTCAGTAATGCATATCGACACTTCCTAAATTGTTGGGCATGGAAAAGAACAGGCTTGATTTCTGCCCCTACCTGATTACCTATTGAATAGAAAGATCTCTGCCTTAAAGCAGTGAGGTAGAAGCTGAAAAGATCTGCAGGGTCATCTTGGCTGTCAGCAGTAATTTGATGTCACGTAACATACGACCATAGTAACTTCTTATCATGCTTGTTTAGGTAGTAAGTCAAAATACATTGAAACCAGGCTGAGCTTGACTGTTGTGAGAGAAGCTTTGATAAACCTGTGTAGAATAGCAACTGCCAGAGTTCCAGAAAGCTCCTTTCCCTGATACATTCCAATAGTAACTTTTCAGTTGAAAAATCATCTGTGGGCCAAAACACCAAAAGAAGCCTGGGGATTTGTTCCAGGTTCTGCTGTTTGCTTGCAGAGTGACCGAGAATCACTTCCTTACACCTGAATTTCCTAGAAAGTAGATGAGTTTGCCCTAAGGATCTGTAAGAAATCACTACTGCTTTGTCATTAGCAAAAAGTTGAGATGATGTTTTTTCACAAAAAATCAGAATAGCTATTTTCTTAACATTTCCTTGTCCATCATACAGTTATTGTCCTTTTATAATAACACATAGCTCTAACTTCCAAATGAGGAAATACTAATTTGCAATACAAGCTTTATTTTTTTTGATTTTACAGAGATAAAAATTGAAAATTAGACTATTACAGACCTGTTGAGGGAGAATTAGAGATTCCTACCCTTTAAAAGAAAAGAGGTTTCTTAACTATTTTAGACCATATTTTCCCCAGTAAAAATGATTCTTTATTTGCATACTCAAGTAAGTAAAAAGGGCATGTAGAAGTAGCTCATGAAAACCAGTTTTTCTGCTAATTTCTAAATATGGGAAAAACACAGAGATGTAGTAACCACCCCTCGTAATTCAGGATCATAAAATAGTTTCAGGTATATCTCTATATACGAGAGTGGTAGTATTGTCCCAACTTCTGTTGCTATATATTATTCATGGCTTAATCATAGAACCATATGAAATGAAGGTCAGAAACTTTTTCCTTGCTGTGACATGTTGTAGTATTGTCAGGAAGTAGAGAGAAGCTATATTGGTTACATTTACCTGGTTTAGTACAACATAAAGCCATGGCATAGCACATCTCTCTGAATGCATCAGTTGTTAGAAACTTACAAACCCGTATCAAAGCAGTTTTGCTTGGACACTGATGTGATTGCTTATGAATATGATGGTTTGTATGCAGTAATAGTCCAGTAGTTTAAAATGGCTAAATTTAAACTTTTTTCACAAATATATTGATAAAACTTTGAAAATGTGACTTCTTGTAATTTGATGTCTTTGTTAATTTGAATGAACCATAACCAAAGTACACTGGACAATGCAGGGGAAGAAGACAAGAAAATGAATGAAGAATTGGAGTCTCAGTACCAACAAAGCATGGACAGCACGATGTCTGGACGAAACCGCCGCCATTGTGGACTTGGTTTCAGTGAGGTAGTAAGTTGTTTGTTTCCATAACAATTTGCCTTTCAGTCCACTAAGACAAGATGATACATGGTTTAAAAATCCATCACTACAACTGCTGGCAAACTGCTGCAGTTTGAGTTAAAAGAGAAACTTACTGCAGGCCCTTAACAATTATTAATGTTTCTTATTGTTCTGAAAAGTGATACGACGTGTACTGCTCCATAGTAGTCAAGACTGATGAGGACAGAAGGTGACAAAGATCAGGGTCTTCCCACGTAATACATAAGAAGACAGGATAACCATCTGCATCATTGCTGAATGCTAATTAATTGTATCTGCTTCTTGTGGTGAGGCACATACCTCTTTGGGCCTGAAACGGAACTGACTAGAGGTGTCAAGACAAGGGGAATGTGCTGTACAGAGTCCTTCAGTGAGCTGGTCTTGTACTTGCAGGGATTTCCATAGGAGTGAGCAGGAAGCGTGACAAAACCCAAGAGAATCAGGTTATTTGGAACATGTCTTCATCTGCTGATTGAAAGATGCAATAATTATTTTTTTGCTACCTGTTAATACCAATTACTGCATAAAAATGTAGCTGATTTTTCCAGAGTGAGTAAAACCACCTGTGCAATGCTGGGAATTCTTAATGTTACAGCTGTGGAGGCTTTGCTCGTCAGGACCATGAACAAAATGTCACTTTGGGGATTGATAGCAATATCATTGGATTACTTCAGCATTCCTCATGCTGCAGTGTGCAAAACGTAATTTCAAGGATCAGTCACAAATGTGAATTCTTGGTGGTGTGGCTGTTCGTTTCATTATGTTTTGTCCATGACAAATGTTCAGGTGTCATGTACTGCATATACCAAAGTAAGTATTAACTGATGTGACCTGAGACTTTTCAAACTCACTTAATGGTGCTTTTAGGATTTCTGCTGTAACTAAATAAGAATGTGGCTGGTGAAGCCATGAGTGTCATGGTTGGTATATGGTTAACCACTTTAGTGGAGTTGCTTTCTGTATACCAATTTGTATGTTAAGGACTTGGGTTTAGCAACAGACCCCATTCTAGTACTAAAATGAAAGGAGCCGTTAAGCAAAACATGCTCACTGTGAAATATTAAAAGCTGCAGTGGAGTTGCCAGGAAATAATGGTTTATCTGTCTCATAATCCGAACTTCCAGTTTCAGGAAAGTGAAGAACAAGAAGAGGCAGTTGGGCACTCCTCTGAAGAGAGTTCAGAAGACTCCGAAAGTGGCTCTGAGTCTGAACAAGAGGAGTCTGCAGAAGAGCTACAAGCTGCTGAAAAACATGTTGAGGCTGAGGTTCCAGAAAGCAAAAAAGAAGCAAAAAGCAACTATAAAATGATGTTTGTTAAAGCCAGTGGTTCATAACTGCAGATGTAACAGCTTTGTATTCCAAGTACAGTAAGCCTTATTGTTACAGTGCAAAGTGGAGGACTGCTACAGCACAAACCTTTGTATTATGATTTTAAAAAAGACCCCATTAGATGACAAACTAGTATTTGCTTTCTGTTGCCATGGATAACATTTTTATGGGCACAGTGATATTACTGGTTTTTGTAAAGCATATAAAATACTGGATGGAGTAATAAAGTTTTTGTTCCTGCCCAATCTCTACAATGTTATCTAAACTTTCCCTCCCCTTATTCCATACCAGATAAGGAAACTTCATGTTAGTGGTTTCTTTAGTTAGTACCCTAGTCTTGAATTTTTATCTGTTAAGATTACATGTAAATTACTTGCCGTTGCATTAGTTGTAAAATACTGGTATCAGCACCATTCTGTGATGTACTAAAGCTTTAAGCAATGATTTTGTCTATAGATGCTAGTGTTTACAGGGTTAAGAGGAGAACTCGCTCAATTTTGTGACAGTGTTAATCACTGCATCCACGTGAGGTCTTACAGGAGTTGCACAGGAGAAGGTTTTGTAGAAATGCATAATACAACAGATTGTTCTGATTACTTCTTTGGCTTTATAAGGAGGAGGATAAGCTGTAGTTCATTATACTTTTAAGTAGAAAAGAGTGAGTTTTAAATTACTGTCTCCTGGTTATAGCACTGAGCTGTTATGAACAATTAACTTGTCATGAAGAAACCAATTTACTTTGAAAGAGAAGATATACTTTGATAATGAAAAAGAGATTCAAAAAATGTAGCTTTTTTAAAAATAGAGAATACAGAATTAAGTACTAAAGCCCCTTCTTCCTTTTATTCCTGCATCACTTGGAGGTCTAAGTCAGTTACCATGAAAAGGTTGTACCTCTCAAGTAAAGTTGGTAACAGAGTCAGGAGTTCAAGTAACTCCTTCCAGCAAGAATTAAGCACACCCATTCCTCTGCAAATTTGTAGTTTACTGCATTCAAGTAATTAGTAAAATACTGTAACTTTTTAGACTTAGTTTCCTCTTAGTACATCAGACATATCAACTGCCTGTTTGTACTGGGAAAGCAGAACAGCTGATCTGTACCTCTGCCACAACAGTGTTTCAGGAAACACTCTGGATGCTTGTGGAGAATCTTCCATGTCTATATACAGTTTATGACATGCAGACAACATATGCAGGCCAGTTTGCTTATGTGAAAGCAGCAGCATGTGCTATCAGTGTATAGGTTTATTGAATGTAAACATGGCAGCAGCATCATTTACTGGGGGAGAACTTGGAATATTGAAAAAAATAAAAGTAATATGATTGTAAATAAAAACAGTGTAGATTTTGATTTGGTTTACTATATTTGCATTTAATACAAAGTTTTTCGAAGTAATTCTTTGAAGTAAAACTTGGAAAAGTAATTTGGGTTTAAGGTCAATGTTACAGCAGTTACTAACAGTGATTTGTACAAGTTTCTTTTTGTTTTCTCAATACTGCCAGCTTCTAATACATAGAAACTAAAGTTCCTTGTACACCTTTTGAAGAAAGAAACCTCACCATGACTTATGAAAGCTGCTCTTTCTAGGAAGAGAGGCACCCTCCCCAAAAGATAAAGGATTATGTTTCCTAATAGACTGATATAACTTTATTCCTATTTAGACACTTACTTAAGCTCACTTCCTTAAACCAGCATTTCACTGTTAGGTTCTTCTAGGTGCAGCTGCTGCCTTTTATTGCCTTAAGGGCCATTACCAAATTAAGGCATGAGCTGCAAGATGCTGCATATACACTGACACCTCTGCCTTCTGTCCTTGAGCTCTCACAACCTTTCCTTCTGCAGCTGCTCAACATCCATGTGGATCTCTGACCTTCCCCAGCAGCATGCGTGCAGTAACTCACTTTCAGGAGGCAATGAAATCCATTGCTGCAGACTCGCTCTGCTGGGCTGAGGACCCTGCTGCTTTTCCATTAGCCTGCAAGGGCACAATAAAACGTCCCCTTAGGGCTTTTCTCCATGCTGGAACCAACCTGGAAAGACCCAGGAGAAGCAGACCCAAGTCTGTTTCTGTGTAATATTTGTAAACATACTAATAACTTGCTAATTTAGCTGTGAAGGAGCCTGGCTAAGAAGCTTCTCTGTATATAAAGGCTGATCAGTTCAGTGAAGTAAATGTTTTCATTCATGGTCAATTTTAGCAGTGTTTGGTATAATGACATTAGCAGCAGTGGCAGGGACAGTAGCAGAATGGTTTCAGCTCTTGTACTTGTCAGAGACAGAGAACACAGGAAAAAAAAGTTAGTGTCACTGGTTGATTCTAGACAGCTCTTCACTTTTTCAGGCTGGTATAGAAAGAGCTCCCAGAGATGACAGCAGAACACATAAGCAGACATCAAATCCTGAAGAGAGCAACTGTATTTGTCTTTTCAGATTAGATTCAGCCACTGAAATTCCTCAACTCAAAGACCAGCTTATTTCCATCTCAATAGAAAGGCAGCAGTCTGCCTGTTCTGCATCATAGGAAACACCTGATGAAAGTTAGTGTTTGTAAACCATGCAGACAATTTACATATACAAAGGCCAGTGCAGGCACATTATCAGTGCTTGTCTTTGCAAAACAGAAACCACTTGAACAGGTCACAAGCCCCAGCACACCTGTCCCCCTTCCATTTGCCCTGGCATAGGAACCCCTCAACTCAAGCACCATCACAGACCACTGCCCACGGGGTCCTGCAGTCACAAAAAAGGCTGCTAAGCCAGGCAAAAAGGGATTCACAACATTGTACAGGAATTCTTCAAGGCCAAGAAAACCAGGTCTATAAGTTGCCCTGTAGCTTTATGCAACTGCTTTACAGTTTACTCTCCCTTTCTTCCTGAAGAGGAGGCTGACAACTTGATTCCTGAAAGCACAATTTATAGGCCAGCTTCAAAGCTATAGGTCCTTCTAAGGCTCTGGTTGGGGAATTCACATCAAAGGAGACATGCACATGTTCTGATGCCAGAGAGGATGGTTGGTAGAAATCTCTGTGGATTTGCTACAGTCCCCAGTACAAGGATTAAATTATGCACTGAAGCTGCCTCTGTAAACTGCAGGAGACAAAGAGAATAAGTGGCAGTGCAATAACTCATAATCAAAGCCTGGCACAATTATTTGCATCAGCTTCTTGGAAGCTGTCAGGGAATTAAGAGCAGGGACATGTCCCGAGGTACCTTCACTGAAGGGACAAAGCAGAAGTTGGGTTTGTCTGCTTTTAAGACTGCCACCTCAACTGCACTTCTATTGAGAAAAATATCTGAGTGGTACACAGATGTACAGTATCCCAATAGGTAAAGTTTCCTTAGTTTTTACACAGCATGAAAGAAACAAAGTACTTCTTATTGACTTAATCTAATTTGATTTGATTTTGATGTGCAGATGCAGAATTAGGTCACACAAAGTTTGTGCTATTACCTATCCAAATCCAGTACCATTTATGGTGTCCATAGCTCAGGAAGATTTAGTTGAGAAGAAAAAGTGAAGAATGAGAAGTGACACACATCAGAAGAGGCTTTTGTATCTTCAATCCAGCAATCCAGGGGCTCATATTAAAAGAAAAAAAACAACAAAACAAAAAACACCAAAAAAAACCAAAACCCAACAAAACCAACTTCCTTGTTTTGAACTTTTTCACAGCTGCCCACCCTGACCTGCAGAGAAATTCTCTCAAACCATTACCGTAAGTAGTGTATAATAAGTAAATTTTCATTGCAAGTATATCAAGCTGCATTAATGACTGCAGAAAGGTTTGATAACCTGGTTCCTTTTCAGCCTTGTATTTATTGCTAAAGCTTTAAAGCAAATGCAGGTGAAGCTTTTCATCCTTAACTGGTTGGGGCCAAGCCTCCTTTCCATGACACCCTCTAAGATCTAGTAATTGTCATGTGTTTGTAAGGATTCAGTAGCAGAACATCTCTTTCCAACTTTTTTTTTTCTTGTCAAAAAGGCTTCTTAACATAGTCATACCCAAACACGCACACAAACTAAAGATCAAGCTTATTCAGTAGTCAACCGACGAGGACATTACCGATACTGAATAAAATCTGCAGATAAAATAATTTGCCAAGTAACTTCTAAACTGGGTTCAGTGAAGGTAAGTGAAGCATCCTCAGGCGCACATTGGGCCTTGAGAAGACAGGGGACACAGCTACACTCACAAGCTGTTGCTCTCTTTTACCCGAGACTCTCAGCCAGGTTAGGACTTGGGAAACGAGCAGAGCAGCCAGTTCTGCTGCTCATTTCAGCTGTGGTCCCTCAGCTTTTGTGTGTCCTGTTCTTCAGCACCAAAGGAAAAGAGAATGGGCTCAATGTGTGTGCATATGTGCTCACAGCCCAACACATACACAGACACCGTACAATTGTGCTGAGCAGAAGACAAAATCCTGTTCCATACTGGGAGCAGATGATGCTCAAAGGCACAATACAGAAGAAGCAGAGCAGAGACATAGAAGAACTGTCCGTTGTGAACTAAGTAGTCAGAAAAACCAACAATCCATATAATAACAAGAGACAGAATTAGCAGGGACTTCTTTAGCGTCAGCTGTTTCCCCTAGAGTGGTATAAATCACTGTAACTGTCACCAGCTGTTTCATTAGGGTTGCATCTTGCATAAGCCATCAGCCAGGGTTTAAAAAAAACTCCAAAAATCTTCCACGTCTCAAGAGATGAACCAGAAAACAATGCTAAAGCTTTTCTCAGTTCTGGCTCTAGAGAGAAAAATCAAGCCAGCCCAAACCCCTTGGCAGTATAACAGAACTGTGGCCAGAGGCTGCAGCAGGCCACACAACACCCTGTCTTGCACTAACACATCACAACCGCACAAACAGAAGCCCTCACTTGGACCAGGCTCTGTGCCAGGAGAACTGACCTTCACCACCCCTGGCACTGGTGCAAGGTGTTTCTACAGGGAAAAGAGAGTTTCACACATGCTAGCCATTTTCAACTGTAATTTGGCTTAAAAGAACAGAGCCCAGAAGCTGGCAACAGAAAAGATGACTGTCCCGTTACCAAAACACTACATTGAAGTCATCAGTGATTCCCTCCTTCACCCACTGACACTGTTAACACTCTACTATCTTGTGATTCCCATTCATAAGGTATTTTTTGTACTAGGATACCAGACTTGTATTCACACTTGCCAGCTGTTTCTTCTTCTTACCTCCCCTCCACAATTTAGGTCAAGTCCCTTTGTTAAAACATCTTGCTTCTGTCCAAGTCCAAGTATCCCAGCTTCTTCAACCTTTTTACTGTCTTTAACTTCTAACCACTGGACTGTTCTCCACTCTCACCCTCAGCCTTTTACTCAGTCTTGTTTGCAGATACCTCTCTGCCATTATTTCCTACAAACTCACTACTAACCTTTGTTTTCTTAATCTCTTTCTTCCTTTTGTGCTGCCTTATGCCATAGCTCCTTGAAAAGGCTTCTTCTAGTGGGCAACAAGAAAACATCATTGTCCTTCAAGGTTACATCTTATAGCAGTTATTTCATCAATAACTGCTCCAAAAACGCTGTTCAGTTTCTCAGGTGTTTTCCTTGGAGGCTGTTTTACACTCTCTGTAAGGCAACTGGGAGCACTGACAGGTAAATAACAAGTAAACACTGCACAAATGTGCACATATGCAATACTTTCTGGTTTTATTCACTTCTATAATTAGTACTTGAAGTTATTTTGCCATCTCTCAGTAATTTCGTGGCAGGCTTTATAATTTTACCTCTCTCTTAGGTTTACCTGTAGTTTAACATTCAAAGTATGGTTGTTGCACAGAATACCTCAACAGACTTGTATTAAAAATGCTCTTTAAAATTCCAAAGCTTTGAACTAAAGAAGTATCTCCAGAAGTTTTCATGGAAAGTTCATCTCAGTTGGTTCAATTCAGCTACAGTTAGATGCACCTTTTCAAATAATGGAAAAAAAAATGTAAAGGGGTCAGACCCAATCAATACACTTGTTCAAACAGAATTTCAGCACTGTGATGTGTGTATTTTTTGTGCTCTTTGTACTGCTCCACTATGAAGAAAGGTTGCTTTTGCTAGTAGAGGAATAAAAATCTTAGCCTTTTGAATACAGCCAAATAACCAATAGGAATGTTTACTGGGTGTAAAAAATACAGCGTTTTTTCATGTTTTTCTTGTGCATGGCTTTGTTCTTTTTTATAACTACGCAATACACAGACACAGAGACATGTATGCGGCACTAGCAAAACCTTTAAAATACTCAAAGACAGCCAGAAATCAAGAGGGGTAGCATCAGACCATGCCTTCTGTATCTTCCAAGTTTCAACACTAAGTAAATCTGGT